TTTTAACCCCCCCCCCCCCCCCCCCCCAAGCTACCTACTTGTGCTTGGGCTATTCTGGTAAGGGTCTGCCACCATCAGGATAGGGCTGACTTAAAGCAAAGCAAGCTTGTGTTTTCACTCTTGTCTGAGCATTCAAAACTGTGGGCACGGTGTATCTGTGGTTGCATTTCATGTGTTGGAACCGAGTTCTGCCCCAAGAGGTACCAGTGGTGGCTCGTGTTGCCTTCGGTGTTCTGCACAGACCCAGGGGCCAACCCTGACTTGGGCACCATCCCAAGGCAGCTTTGTCCCACATCTTTCCTTGAATAGTTTTCTGATATATAAGTTATCTTTGTCCAAAATGCAAAAAGCATTCAAGAATCCTTGAATTTCAACCTTCACCTGCTCTGGCTGGCTGGCAGGACTCCATTTGATCTCCAGAGAAGTACTTTTAAAGAAAACAATTTTCTGTGTGACACCAAAGGTTGATTTTCACCCCCTTGGAGGGGAGCAGGGATCTGGATCAATTCTGTAATGTCAGAGGCAGATACTGTATCAATCGCATTGTCCTTGTTAACTGTTTTTAATACAACTGGTTCTCCAAGTCCTTCAGTGTCCAGGAGGCCTGGTCCTGATACGAGTTCTATCAGTAGATCTAGAGTTGTTAAAATATAGTCCTGGTAGAATCTAATGTCTCCCACCTTGTAGTAAATTTGGACCAAGATCTTTCCTCTCCTTTTTTTTTGGTCTGTTGAAATTTAATCTAAAATTTATGTCCAGCCTTGACCCATAAGACCCAAGATACTGACTTTGCATCTTAGAGCAGTTAAAGAGGTTAAAGAGAGGCAAGAATGTACCAAGAGTGGGTTAGCATACACAACTGGATTAATTTACCCCTCTGTTAAAGATGTGGCCTTGAGCACGCCATCGAAACTTGAACTTTCACCAAAAATTCAATTGAAATATAACAGTTTTAGCTGGAAGTTCACTTTATAATTAAGAAAGTGCTTTGCTTGCTTTCTCTAATTAAATCAAAATTCTGTTTTCACAGAGAAATAAATACTATTTTTAGGAAGTATCTAAGGAAGAAAAATAATCCCTATATTTCTTCTGGAAAGTTTAAAATTAGTTTAGCCTCATTTATAGAGAGAGATCCAAAGGAGAGGCAAAATGTTGCTCTGGTGTCATGCTGCCAGCCCAGCCACTAACTCATGTCATGATTTACACTGAGACGCAGAGATGCCTGCCACCACCACACTCGATTAACGTTCTTTGACCTTTAAGTGCAAAGTGACTGAAACTTTATATGTATTTATGGTAACATGGGCTTTTGCTGACAGAAGTGTTGTATGACTATAACTGAAGCAGCTACCCAGCCTCCCAGCTCAGATTGCAGCTGTGACCAGAACTCGAAGAGAATGATCCTTCTGCTTGTATCACTGAGAGGCTTCCAGCCTTTACCCAGAGGTGCCAACACCATCCAGTGCTTATCTTGTATTGCTCTAGGGGCTCTTTTCACTTGGACCAGTGTAAATCACCTAAATTTGTTCACAGAGGTTGTGAAATATCTTAGTGGTCAGGTAGGAAATCCAGAGTAGCTTCATCAGAGGCACCAAGGAGTCAATCCACCATAGGTGTGTAACAACTAAACAGTTTCCGCTTTTGTCTTAACAGTATCTCCCTCCTTTTGTTTACCCTCAAACCTCCCTTGATGTTTACAAGGGCATTTTTCCCTTACTCTCCCTTAGCTGCACCCCTAAGATGGCTTCACCCCCAAGACTGCAGCATTCAGGAACAGCAGCAATCCTCTCCCTCATAGCATTCAGGGCTACCCCTCTCCTCAAAACCACCAAAAAAGCACCAAAGCTGATTCTCCTACAGCTTTAAAGAATATATAGGTGTGGTTTTAGACCAAAATGGGGCTATCACACTGTGCTGTCTTCTAGAAGATCCAGCTCCCCCCACAATGGAGGCCTAACTTCTGCACAGAGTGCATTCAGAAAACTATTACCACATTAACATTGCACCATTAGAGCTGGTGGGATGCTGCGCCACAGAAATAGGACTGTGGCCCTTACATAATTCCATGACAAAACGTGTCCAATGCCTGCTTGTCTACTAACCTCCAAGCCCTTGTCTGCAGCTGCAGAACGCACCTCTCTCACACATAGTGCCAGAAGCAAATACAGCCCACAGGAGGGAAAAGTCTGGGAAGTTTTTCTCTTTGGAGAGGCTCAGCTTCTTGATGTTAAGGAGTAGGCAGGCTGGGATTACAAGCTGAGGCCCTACAGAGCACGCTAGAGATGTTCTGACCGTTGGGGAGAGGGTGCCGGGTGGCTCCGGGGTGTCGGTGCCCCCGGCCGCGGTCTGAGGT